CTATTCTATTCTATTCTATTCTATTCTATTCTATTCTATTCTATTCTATTCTATTCCATTCCATTCCATTCCATTCCACTCCATTCCACTCCATTCCACTCCATTCCACTCCATTTCCTATATACCATACAGAGACACTGGAACTTTCTGGGTAATATAATTTGACTTATTCATCCCTGTATTTAAACATCTGTATAGAAGTACAGCTCCTCTATCATATGTTCCTCCCATCCTAGGGCTGGAAAATAATCATGCTAGCATAAAATGTGCTGTCCCCACTATGTGGCCTTACCACACATGTGAAGCAGGGTCATGCTGTGCTGCTGTCCACACATGGATTGTAAGAATAGTGTTTGGTAGATTTCTCAACATGGAAAAAGTCACCACCAATCACTATACAGAACATATGCTTGTAGGATGCAGGTGCTCTGCCCATTCATTGCCCCCCTCCCCAAACCACTGTTAATATGTTTTCTTAATGACCACTAGATGGTAGCAAAGAATTAGTTTCTTTCAATTGCAACTCAATTGCAATTGAGGTTTAGTGTGTGTGAAAAAAGTCTCACTTGTGGAGGGCTGTGAGATGCACCCACATAATGTTTTCAAAATGTTCACTCACCTGTCACAGACCTGCTCTGAGTGTGAGATGGATGGAGTCTCTAAATTTAATAAACAAACAAACAAATTGACTTACTTATCATTCTAGCCATTGTCTATCCAGGTTAAGACCTCTTCTGCATGTTTCCAATCAATATGGTCTGTAACTTTCTTTTGCCAATTGGGCCTACAATACATGCTGAAGTCGTCATTCCATCTTGTTTTAAGTTTTGTGGACACTTTTTAATCAAGTGGGTTCCATTCTATAACTGCCTTAGTGCACCTGCCATCAGTTCTTCTTGCTGTGTGACCAACCCATTTCCATTTTAATTCTTTTACTCTCATGATGATATCATATTGACCTATTAGCTACTAAGTGAAAGCCAAATGTTTTAATCTTAAATTATTTAGCCTTTAATGTTTTATTTATTAAATTGTATGCCTCCTAGAACCTCTCTGTGAAGGATATGGACAGTTAAGAAGTGTGATATATAAATAGATGTAAATAAAGATTTTTCTGTCCTTTTTGTCAGGTATCTAGAAGTCATCTAGATTTGTTTATTCATGGTGTAGCTGTTGGATAAATATTGAATAGAAGAACAGCACCAAAGAAGTGGAGTTTGAGAAAATATTATTGATATTTGTGTCAAATCACAGCATACATGCTGTACACCCCATATTATCCAAATTGTAGGAGGAGAAAAAAATGTATGTGAAAGCCATATCTGTACCAGATGTAGTGATTTATTTTTACAAGAACATTCTGTAAGGGGAGGATCAGAGGTGGGTTGCTACTGGTTCACACCGGTTTGGGCGAACAGGTAGTGGAAATTGTGACTGGTCACCAAACTGGTGGGGAACGGCAGGCTCGTCATGCTCCCAAACTGGTCACCGTGCCATATTTTTTTGGCCTTTTTAATGTTCTGCACATGCACAGACCTATTTACAGGCAACTGCACATGCGCACGGAGCACACCAAAGCACACATGCACCAAACCGGCACTAATGCTGGCAGCAACCCACCCTTGGGAAAATGTGAGTAACCTACCACACAGAAGCAAAAGAGCCCACTCTTTTTAGTTACACTTTCAATTACACCCGTTTAACTATGGATTGGTTACTCAATTTCAGGGGTTATTGCTGTCTAGGGTCTTCAGTCATCTAATCTGCAAAAAGAAGAGAAGAGGAAGTGGTCCAATAGCAAACCTCATAGCCACTTCAAGCCTTCTCCATGTGTCATAGATATTCTGGATAGGAGATCTTCCATCTTCCCCGGGGAAGCAGTTTTCATGCAGAGCAGCTTGGAGTGGCTTCAAATTGCTCAGCAATGGCTGCTTAGATATAGAGGCTTTAACTATGAGGACATGTCCTTAGAAAATATATATGTGAGTACTTTCACATTGCAATAGTAGGCTACATGGATGAGTATGCATTCCCAGTTCCTTCCCAATACATGGTATTCACTATTTCTGGGCTCCTTTTTCTCCCCTGCCAAGGATTTGGCTTTTTCAAAATGCCTCTCATTGTTCTCAGCCCTTGTAAGTCATTGTCCATCTCTTGCCAGAAGTCCTTCAACATAGAAATTGACCCCATGGTTCAAGAAACACGCTACTCATTGGCACCGTCTGACTAGCTAGTTTATTACCTTACAAGATTCTTCTCTTCCTTCTGATCTATTTGTTCTTTGACAGAGGAGTAAAAAAAAACACCAGCATCTATTTCTCCAGCTTCTTGACTTCCTGCCCAGATTTTTTTTATTATTTATAATGTCTTTAAGACCATGTCTAGTTGAGCAGATCAGTATTCTGACCTAGGCTTCCCAAGAGCATGAAGCAAACTCCTGGTCCTGACAAAAAACCCTTTTATTAATTTACTGTGAATTCTGCTCATTCATGGACAGCAAAGTATTTCAGGGGAGGATTAACAGTCACAGACCTTATCTGGTGTAGAGAGCTGCCAGGCCAATATCTGCAAAACTTGGCAAGGAGTCTAGGAGAATCACAAGCCAATTAAGCAAACTAATTGTCTCCTGCAACTCCACTCCCTCTTCACTCCTCTTTTACTTCCTCTGGGAGGGGCCATTCATCGTCCACCTGTGGCCTTACTCCCAAGTTCATGTCTATCTCTGAAGGCAGTTGATAACTGGCATTCTGGCCCCTTCTCTACCTCACAGCCCTCATCAGAGCCTTCCCCAGGTTGCAGGACTGACCCATTTTCCTCCCCAATCTCCTCACTGTCTAAATCTGCTGCCAGTTCTGCTTGCCACTGGCGGAGACTAGGATTATTGTAGATTTAAGGAATTTGGGGAGCTCAAGGGGATAGCACATAAGGAATTATCTAATATTCCCACAATAGCAATCCTTTGAAATAAAAAGGATTGAGAGAGAATCATGTGCACATAGTCACCCAGTGATCTCTGTGCTTAAGTAAAGTTTTCATCTTGAGTTCCCCTCATCTAAGTCCCTTGGCACTTGCAACTAGCCAAAATGATACCATCATGCAAATTCTGAGATTATATCTGTATCAGTGTCTGAGGTGAGAATATACTGTGAGTCTCAGCATTTGCTTAATTGTCACATATATTTCATGAGATGGGAAACTTCTTACATCACTTGCCTCCCTTGCCTGCAGATACTGAGTTCTAATATTCTTTTATCTATCTAGTCTCTTTTTTGTCTTCTATTCCCATTTATCATGCATTTCTGTTTTTTTTCTGTTGCTTAGTTTATTTTTTCCACCAAACAACTTCCTTGATATAACTCCGTCCCTCAAACATAGGGTATAGCTCATATGATATGCAGCTCAATTTTTATTTCACCAGGAACCAGTAGGTGACAGAAAAAAACCAGAAAAAAGTCATTTTCTGTATGTTTATGACTCAGTTATCTGGCTCATAGTTGTCTCAAAGGTGCTTTTTCAAGAGGACTTTCTGCTTTTTCTTTGAGCTGAAGAAGCCTCTTGGATGAGAAGCAAAATGTCTTCAAAGAAAAACAAGGAAGTCCAGTTGCCTCTTGAAAAAGCACCTTTGGGTCATTTTCTGTTTTTTGTTTTTTCATTCTAGGAAGCCAAAATCTTTCTTCAAAGTAAGGAAGGCTCAGCTGTTTTTCAATTACAGTACAGACTGAAGAAACCATACTGCCAGTTCTTTACACCCCCTTATAGATTGTTCAGCCTTCCTTCCTTCCTTCCTTCCTTCCTTCCTTCCTTCCTTCCTTCCTTCCTTCCTTCCTTCATACATACCTACATACCTACATACCTACACATCAGAAGTAGTATTCAGCAGATTTTGACCAGTTCTGGAGAACCGGTAGTGGAAAGTTTTAGTAGTTTGGAGAATAAATGCCATCTCTGACTGTCCCTGTCCCCATCTATTCTCTGCCTCCCGAGTCCCAGCTGATCGGGAGGGAATGTGGATTTTGTAGTAACCTTCCCCTGAAGTGGGGAGGGAATGGAGATTTTACAGTATCCTTGCCCTGCCACACCCACCAAGCCATCCCCACAGAACCGGTAGTAAAAATATTGAATCCCACCATGCTACACATATGATCTTCCAGATATTGTAGACTATCAGTAAATTGTAGGGGTGAATGTTTTAGGCTTGGACCAGAAAGCCCCAGGTTCAAATCCAATTCAACCACAGAACTCACTGAATGGATGTCTTTGACCAGTCACTCTCTCCCCACCCAGGATGACTATGATAAGAGTAAAATCAGGAGACACTTCTTCCCTGATGAAGTAGCACAAGCTACTTTAGGCTAGAAATAGAATATATATGGAATATAAACAACACTAAAAACTACAGTAAACAACAAGAACAATTGAGACCATGCTTCAACACTAGTTATGGTGACTGGGAAAAAGTTTAAGGACCGTCAACAGCAACAGTGAATAAAGTAAATAAATGCTATTTTTGAATGCTTTGCACTTCAGAATAGCAAGTTTCTATCTGTCTGCTGCCTATCATCCATCTATTTTGTAAAAGTAAGATAATGATTAAATAAAATTGGTCAAGAAAAAGAACCCTTGTGAAATTCTTCAAATTTTGCATGTTTTCAGCCCTCCCCCGCTTGAATTTTGACACACTTAATGCTGGAATCAGTTTAGCTGCTTAGGTTTAAAGTGACAACATAGTCACGGGTTAGCGGGTGAATAGTCACTACAAATAAGTTCAGTATTAACTATTTTATAGAACGGATTAACCGTTTTCAATTAAAAGAAACGTAGAAGGATAATTTAAGCAGGCCAACAAACTGGACTTTGTTTCCTCTCTGTTTACTTTCAACATTTGCACAGTTACTCAGTAACTTTATACTGTTTATCATGGCTGCAACCATGCTGAAGATTAGAGCTGAAGATTAGAGAAGGAAACAGGACTACGAAGGGATGAATAAGGCAGGGATACAATGCCCCTGTGAATGGACTATAATCTTTGCTTCAATTCTCCTTCCCCTATCAAATATTTGAAAAGAAAAGGCAAGGATTGTATGAAGAGATTTCTGTCGGGCTGGCATACACTCTGTTGCTATGAGCATAGAAGAGTGAGGAAGTACCAAGCAGGCCTTTCTTAGCACGTTATACTAAAATGAAGATGATAATTAGATTGCTGTCCATGCCGGCTACTCACTTGACTTTGGGTATGTCAAATCTCAACCATCTCCTCTAAACCATAGCCTAGGTAGCTAAATCTCTTGCTTTTTGTGGTTTATCTAGTAATGATGAATGCCTGTCTGTTTCCACTTCATATCTCTTTGGGTAATCTGTCCTCCAAAGTATTGATCTGGACTATACTGTCAACCTTAAAATACTGGGAACAGATTGTTATCACTGTAACCATTCCACGTTCTCTCCAGACACTCAAGAGGAATACACAGAAAGTGTTGTTCATAATATTGTTGTCATCGCCCCTGCAGTCTTCTGCTCCACATAGAAGAAAAATAAATTTTATCTATCTGTCAGGAGTTTTTGCCAAGAGGGGCAACTATAGTTGTAGGTTGCAACATTACATGTCTGTATGTGTGTGTGTGTGTGTGTGTGTGTGTGTGTGTGTGTGTATACATGTTTGTGTTGCAAAGGAGAAAGTAATGGATTGCATGAACTCAGAGGCTGGGAGGCAGTTGAAGTAAGAGGCTGCTTATATAACTAGGAAAATGGAATATGGAGAAAGATTTTATCGGGATTATGAACCTGACTAGAAAATTTAACATGAGGTTTGCTAGAAGGGATGCAGGAAGAATCTATTTGAGAGACTTCTGGCTTTAGGGGAAATTAGATGAGAGGTCCCACAAATGGAGAAAAGGCCTCCATCAAAGTTCTGGGAGAGCATCAACATCATAAACTGTAAAACAGTACTTTTGTGATTTGGGCTTCTTCTCTCCCTGGAATGCACACTTGTGTGGCAATAATAAAAATTAGGAAATGTTCTTTCTCTCCTCAAAAAGAGCAATTAATTTCAGCTGGAATAAAAGTGGCTAGTAAATGTTTCCGGGAGATGGACAAAAATTTGCTTGTGATTCAATAGAAGGATTTCCAATAGTGAAAGTCACATGATAGGAAATGAAGAGATATGGATGTTACAAATCTGATAAGATTTGATCAAAACTAGATTTAAAAATGAAGTTGATTATATTAGAATTGAGTCTAAGAATTATTTTTCTCTTTTCTCTTAACCCCACTCTCCCTCCAAAAAGCTTTGTAGAGGCTTACTTGGTTTTCTCCCTTCTCTTCACAAACCATCGTATATGGCCAAATGATATTTATTTAAATTTCCAGTAATGGCAAAGAAAGAAATTAACATTAAAAGCATCAATAAATACAACTAATAGTTATCATTAAAAAATGCCACATAAAACTAAAACAAAAAATAAAATTGAAACCCTGTTTTTTCAGCCAGCATTTGGAAACCCTATGACCTTTGACCTACTCCTGGTTAACCCCAGATGTTGTGAGGGATTGGAAACACCTTGATTGCCTGCCTTGATGTGAAGATTGATTCTGTGGTAATATAGAGAGGTCCAGCAGGTGGCAGTAGCAAACTTCCATAATTTCCTCAAACCTAAAACTGAAATGGCAACAATCCGTCAGCAACCACTGTTAAGTGAAATCCCTCCTCCTTATTTTTTTTTTTAAAAAATTGTGATTCCAGGGCACGTGGTTTGCAAAGGAGAGCAGGAATTGGTGGTTTCCCTCCAGATATTTGCTATTATGCTTGGCTGGCTGAGTTGAAAGCACATTTCGGATTTGCTGTCCTTAACGATTCTGCTTTTGGTCTCTGTTCCGGTCTTATTAAGAACACTTTTTGGAAATTAGAAGTTGGAAGAATACTATTATGTACAAGTAAAGAATATTATTACTACTATTATTATGTATATGTAAAATGACCCAGACAATACACTGTCTATTAAATACTTATATATGTTAAAGAAAAATGTATAAATAAATTCTTTTGGGTTTGTTTTTTTAAGAACACTTTTAATTGCTGCTGAAATCTGATAGCATCCCATTAACAAAGGTTTTGCAATCCTAGCAGGCAAAACCTGATGCAGCTCTGGAATGCCTGAATATTTAACAAACATGGTAAAAGATTCGGATGCTAATCTCCTGGGTGGCTGGAGGTATGACACAATGTCAATCTGTTCAATATTTTTATAACCTAAACAATATTTACAGGCTGTTTCTTCCCCGACAAATGCATTCTGGCAGAATGAGCATGCTCCAGGTCCTTTCTATTAAATATTGTCATTTTACGGGACCTGGGAAGCTGCCATTTTATCCCTCCCCGGAATAAGTATAATATCCTCTGAAACCTTGGTTTCAGATTGGGGTTGTTGTGTTTGTGGGGCTTCTAGTTTGGTGTGATTTGTTGTGGTTTGTTTATTTTGGTTTAGGCTGCCTGAGGGGTGGTATGCTTTCAACTGTTTTTATTGTTTGCAAGCCCCTCCCCCCAGGGTCCATGAAAATGGGTAGCTATAATAAATTTAAATAAATAATGAGTAAGAGCCAAATGATTTTTGTTTCAAAAATGTTTTTAAGATACTCATCATCCCTAGATTTTTTTAGTCACTTTGCCTCCCTTCCCATTGGTTATGCTAGACCACTTGTAAGATACAGTCCAATCCTTCATTTTTCCCAGGTCTCAAGGATTGAAGGAAAAGTCATACTAAAAACTAGTAGTTTTGATCTAACCCAGATGTTAAAGATCAACCCAAGCTTCCCAGTAAGCTGAAAAAGTAAAATAAAAACCTAGTTAATTAGTTCCTGAAGGGTTTTTTTGTGTGTGTGAAAGTTTGAAATACATCCTGGATTTGTCAAAGAAATTTTCAGTAAACATGCTGAAGCTATATGGAAAGCTTCAATGTAACGTTATACTTACTGAGTCACACTCGTAGTAATATTATTATTATTATAATAATAATATTATAAACTAATAATTATTATTATTAGTAATATTAGGTTCCACTATACTTTGTATCCATCCTATTTGGTGGGATGTGCCATCTCTGGATAAGAAAACCTAATTTGCATTAGTAAAGCAGGAGGTTAAAATGCTCAGGTTAAATCTCATGGAGATTTAGTTCTGGTTTGATGCATATCGGTCTAAATAATCATATCATCCTTTAAAGGGTATCCTTGAGCAAGACTTCGGTCTCAAAGTGACAATTTCAAGACACGCTTGCTCAGAAGTTAAATCCTGCTACACTCCAAAGGGCGTTCTCCAGAGTAAATATTGCGCACATTTTTCACAACTCCTTCGCGAGGTGAGTTGGGTGCTGTTCTCTCTGACTGGAAGCTTTCTGTCAACATTTTCCCCTTCCTTTTCTCTTGCCAGGGGTCTTTTATCATGGAGTATTCAAGCTTGTTAGTAACCTACTGTTCTTACTTGGGCAATGTAACTGGGTAATTTCTAGATAACCCAAATGGTAAATATGGATGCTGTTGAGTCCAAAAGATTTATTGGGTTAGAACAAATGAATCCCTATTTTTGTTATTGCTACTGTTGTTGTTGTTGTTGTTGTTGTTGTTACTACCGCAGTTGTAACCTAATTCCCTCTTGAATTTTCTAATCTGCCACATTGCTACCACTTGCAAAACCTATCCAGGATCATTTCTAAAGCCTGTCCAGTTGCAAGCATGTGTAAAGTTTGAATGGGTTTCCAAAATTTGTTGGAATACTGCATGAAGGTGATAGAAAGAGAAGCAGTTTCTGAATTTATCAAAAACTCATGCTCAAAACCCCAACCCAAAAGGAAAGGTGATACTTATTAAAGAACCATAATAATAACAACGTATAAATGCTGAAATATATTTCTTCTTATTTTTATCTTATTCTTTCTCGAAGAGTTCATATAAAATGGAAGTAATTAATGAAAAGACCTCATTGATTCAGAATCTCTTGTGCTGCTGAACAGCAAATTTTGTGCTGAATTTCTTTTTGCTCACCAGTTTCAATAACAGAGCAGTTTGAGAATTCCTGGAAAGTTCTTCTATTATTGTGAAACCAACTGAAGTTTCAAAGCATTTTTTAAAAACAGCCCTGTCTTAATTGTGCTATTGCGGTGCTTCAGATGAATTTAAAGATTGTGCTACTGTGGCGAAATTGGTTATTTCCAGAGATACTGGGTTCCTTGGTTGCAAAAACAAACACTCAAACCTGGACAATTCCCAAACAGTGAATGTGAATGAGGTAGATGTGACTTTGGGCTCTTCCAAAGAGTGTAGTCAGTGGTGGATTAAGGCTCATTGATGTCCTAAGCACTGACAAATCTTGGTGCCCCCCTCCATGTACATACTGTACAAATCTTTATTGGTTTTTTTTCTTTCTCAACTTTGTGGTGCCCCCTTGGGCCTGGTGCTCTAAGTATGTGCTTAGTCTGCTTAATGCTTAATACACCACTGGGTGTAGCCCTGGAAGGCTGCTGCTTTCTCATTTATTGACCCAGTTTTCCTGTTTATCCTTCCCTTGGTACTGAAGAGGCTGTTACCAGAGGCTTTATGTCTTCTAGAAACTATAGATACTACTCAAAGAAGAGGGATTGTTTAGAATGAACTAATGTAAAGGAATTTTCATTGATCTGGGCCATTCCAAGATCACAGATACACTTAAATAAGAAGACAAAGAAGTAGATTTTGTTGAAACGCCTTACCCTTCCACTTGGAAAGAGAACTTTGGTAACCATGAGTGGGACATTGCTGGGATAGTCACAAGTTGACAAGTGAGTTTCACTGCCCTATTCATGTAATTAGGTTTTATGCCTTGGAAATGCTAAAACTATGTGGCCCATGTTCCCTACCCTCAAAATTTGAATTTCCAATTCAATATAACAGAGCCTATGAATCTAAATACTGGTATTGCCACTTGTTTTATCAGAGATGTTTGAATTACCCACTACCAATTTCTTAGGCATTTCCCCTCTCAATAATAACGGGGTTTAAATTGACTTGTGACTGAACTTCTATTTCTAAATGGCACAATCAAAACAACTATATATGTTTTTTTTAATAAAAATTTTTCCTATACACAGGCGGTTTCCATTTTTTTTCTGAAAGACTCCTCACCTACATAAAAGGCAGATGTTTCAGTTTTCAACCCAAACCATACCTCCTTCCCCCAGCAAAACACAGAAACAAAAACTTATTTCTGCCTACAGGGAAACGTTAAGAATGTTGATAAGTAACTCTCCTTGAGGTAAAAGAACAAATTAAGCAGAAAATAAACAAGGAGGTGTGTGAAAGGTTAGAGAGAATATGGACTTTAGATATGATTGGGAGTTCAGGAGGCTCCTCCTTTCAACCTTGTCTCATTTAAACAGCTTCTTGGATTTTTCAAGAGGAACTCAGATAAGAATGGAGCTGACATGGACAGGAGTTCTGCTTCTTCTCTGTGTACTCTTCACCCTTTTCTCATCTTTCCAAATGTATAAGAAAAAAGGGCAGCTGCCCCCTGGACCTGCTCCATGGCCTATTCTGGGGAACCTCTTTCAGCAAGATGTACTACCTCTGTATAAGTCATATAAAAAGGTATGATTGCTTTGAAGTCTATCTATATTACTTCCTTTCTCTAGTTTGGAGGTGTTGTTGTTGAGTGTCATATATATATTTTCACCAGGTAGTTTAGCATAGAAATTACTTTGTAGCAACCTGATAAAAGCATAATGTTTGATAAAAGGGATAACAAGTAAAAGTAATAAGAGTTTTAGAAAATTAAATGTTTCAAATGTGTTTCATTTGAATTAGCATCTAACTCAATGACCTGTCTTCCTCCTCTAGCCATCCTGCTTAATCCCAGTTTATTGAAATGCAAACATACCTTCTGTCCTAGCTAACAAAACACTAAGACTACTTTATATGGGTTATACAAATCTGGATAATCATTAGATGGCAACAAAAACATGCAGAAATTCTTTGCTGCAATCTAGTGATAATCCAGTTTCTTGAAGACCACCAATGAATATACATCGACATCGAGTCTTTATTGATTAGCCCTTGGGCCATATCAAAGTGCAAAGTTCCAGAAACAAATTATTACTAAAATTTGACAAAAGCAATTTAAAATGAAATTTGATAAAATACAATTTAAGGTGGAACCAATGAATATAAATATGGGGAGCTACAAAATAGCAAAGCATAATACTTATTTAAAGTTGAAAGGTGATGTATTGTTAAGACAATGGATAGTTCATGGTTTTCTTTGAGGTTACTGAAATTTGATCGAAATAGAAAGCTGTAACAGGCAAAGTTTGGTCACTTGGAAAGTTTAATTCAGCTTCCTAACTTGAAGAGTGAAAGAAGGCTAATGATACCAGAAACTGAAACAAAGCATTTTTGCTTTTGTTTCATTTCAGAATTTTATATAAGAAATAAACAACAATTGTTTTACTTTCACTTCTATCTGTTTCTTCCAGACTCATTTTTCCCAAGATCCATGCTTTAATGGCTCTCTGCCTGTATCTTTCTATCTATCTCTCTGTCTCTATCATCTCTATCTGTGTCTCCTACATCCTATCTCCTATGTATATCATCTAATCCAGTGATGGGATTCAAATAATTTAACCGGTTCTCTGCCCTAATGACCAGCTGGGTAGGTGTGGCTGGCTGGCCATGTGACTGGGTGGCCGTGGCCGGGGTGGGCGTGACACAGGATTAGTGTGGTGCTAACGCAGGACTTCCTTGAGACCCTCCTCACTCTCATTATGCAGGTAATCCTCCAGTTACAAATGTAATAGAGCCTGCAAATTGAATTGAATCACATTAAATGAACATGATCACTCTGTGCTTTCCTCAATGCATTTGTTAATTGATTGCACAGATCATTAAATACACATGAGGTATCTCAGGCTGGGGAACAGCATGTGGAGCCTAGTAGAGGCCATCCAAGGCCTCTCTCAATCCACTGAGATACCTCATGCTCCCCTTGGGGTCCCTGCAATTGCTTCCTCCCTATCCTGCCTCACTGGATCTCCACAGACTGGGCCTACTTTGCTGGCATCCCAGATTCTACTTACTCCTCCCCACCCCATTTTCCATCGATTACTTACTTTTTGAAGATCTCCAGCTTCTGAATAAAAGACTTTGGTTTCTCAGCCATGTGGGTCAGCCTCTTCTACAGCTGTTTGATAAGTAAGTACACTAAAGCCATGGGAAATGGGGTGGGGAGGAATAAGTGAATCTGGTCCATGGGCGCTCCATTTTGACCTGTAATAGGCCAGGGGAAGCCTCTGGAGGTCCAAAGAGGGCCTCGGAAAACTGGACCGGGCCCACAGAAACTCCATGTTGGCCTGTAACAGTCTGGGGGAGGTCTGAATGGGGCAAGGCTTCAGCCAGTTTGGCAAACTGAGCCAACAGTTAACCAGTTCTAGCGAACTGGTGCAAACGGCTGATTATCACCGCTGATGTAATCTAACACCAATTTACACTTTCTAATGTTTGGTATTGCCATTTCATTTAAACATAAGTCTGAACTTTTATTCTCAACTCTATGAGATCAGACCATCTTAATTCTAATGGGTTCCATTCATCTTAGTCTTGGTCTTCCTCACAAACACACAGTATGTATGTGTGTGAGTCTTTCATTCCATTCTTTAACTCATGCTCTTGAGCTTTTATTTTTCATACATTCCACGTTGAATCTTCCATTTTCCTTGTGGTTGGGCCCATAATTATTGATGTCGAGCACCCTTTATGGTGTTGGTTAGTTGTAGATTTCACATAGATCTATATAATAAATTGAAGAAAGAATAGCTTGGACTATTATACTTATGCTACTTGTAAAATTCCTTGATGTTGATAAAAATAGTACTAGGGAGTTTTGGTACTTTTTTCTTATATATCACAAATGCAACCAAATCTCTGTTTTATCATGTACAGCACATGCTATTCTATGTGAACTAGGATATTTAATGCATCACTGAACATAAAAGTCATGCTGTTTTTTCACTTAGTTTTAAAGCACTTGTTATGTATTCTTGATAATATATGTAATTTTATGCTTTGTTTCTTTTGCTTTTTCTGTTATTATTTTAAAAACAATTACATTTTATATAAAAACCCATACTAGTAGCCATATCCCACAAGCTAATAGATACCTGCAATGTTCTAGAATCTAATCATATTTGTGGATGTTAAGAATTTTTGGAATTCTTCTTGAACATTTTGAAGGTTTCTCTGCAATAATTTAAAATGTATTTCAAATATGCTTGGAAATAGTTTCACTCCAATATGGGTCATCAGCTGATTAACTAGGTTTTCATTTAATTCTACCTTTAGCTTATTGGACGGTATGGTCCTATCTTTACCATCTGGGTTGGATCAAAACCTTTGGTTGTGCTCTGTGGACATAAGATAATAAAAGATGCTTTGATAAATCATGCAGAAGAATTTAGTGGACGTAATGTTGTGCCCACCATTGAGCGAATATTCCATAACCATGGTTGGTACTCTTGCACTTCCTTATTTGCTCTTCTTTTTCTTTGAAAGCTACTGTGCACATTTTAAATTATGCTATTAAGGTCTAAAAAGTTTTACTTGAAAAATGATTTTTTTAAACCCTTTCCCCTGAAAATAAGACCTGCCGGATAATAAACCCAGTTGGGCTTTTGAGCGCATGTGCTAAAATAAGCCCTCCCCTGAAAATAAGCATCCCAAAAAATATTGCAGCACAGGAGCAGCCATGAGGTGACCACACTCGCCACCTCCTGCACCTCAAAAATAATAAGACCTCCCTGAAAATAAGGTCAAGTGCTTTTTTTGAGGGTCAAAAGAAAATAAGACCCATGCATACTTTTTCAAATAAGAGTTTTTTAGCTGATGCTGTCTGAGCTATTGTTGAAAATTAATATACCTTCAAAGAAAATATCTTCTCTTAGCCAATGAATGTCTAGAACTGCACAAAAACAGTCACATGTTGAAATGTGTCTATTTCTTCTTCTGCTTCCTGAAAATTGCAGGGACAGTAAAGACCAGTCTCTATGTTCAATATACAGGTCTTTTTGTCTATATCACCATTGCAGAACTTGTGTCATGGTTTTGATAATGGCTAAGAAAATGTACTTTTCTCTTCTACTATATATTTTTAAATTTTGTAATTGTTGTTGCAATTGTGTTATCTTTATCTTTAAGATTGTCCAGAATAAGTTTTTGAGACGGGTAGCTAAATAAATTTAAAATGGATAAATAAATAAATTAGTGGAAGAGCTGCATTCACTAATTAGTATTTCAACCTGCCAATTGTGCTTTATTGAAAGTAGGGAGAGAAGATTTTGTGATCTATATTTATTGCAATGCAGTGACCTGAGTGACTGAGTCTCTCGGGAATAGGGCGGCATACAAATTGAATAAACTACGACTACCTATCACAGCTATTGGCGAGACAAGGATCTGAAGGAGGAAAGGGCTTGTAACCATTGTTTATATTGAAATGTTCTACTTCTCAAAAGCTGAAAACTGACAATCATGCTGTTTTCCCTATGCCTTTGGTTTTAGGTCTGGCCACTGCTGATGAGAAAATCTGGAAGGAGATGAGACATTTCATGCTATCTACCTTGAGAAATTTTGGGATGGGGAAGAAACAGATGTCTGAAAGAGTGCAGGAGGAAGCCCTTTGTCTAGTGGAAGAACTGGGCAGCATGCAAGGTCTTCCAAAGCAGTTGTCCTCAAGAAAAATATTTTCATTTGTAAAAAGAAGCCGAGAGGGGGTTTTGTATTGTGCAAGGTTACAGGAAAATTCTGAGTTGAAACTCAAATAGCAATAGCAATAGCACTTAGATTTATATGCCACTTCCCAGTGCTTTACAGCCCTCTCCAAGTGTTTTACAGTGTCAACATATTCCCTCCAACAATCTGATAAAATGGGTCCTCATTTTATCAACCTCAGAAGGATAGAAGCTGACTCAACCTTGAGCTGGGGAGACTTGAACTGCTGGCAACTGGCAGTCAGCAGAAGTAGCCTGAAGTACTGCATTCTAACCACAATGCCGCCACAATTTTACATTTAACTGCACAAAATAAAGAAAAAGAAAGATAGGTAGCAACAAGCTCCTATGGTGTTGCTTTCACACTGGTATTCAAGAGCACAGACAAAAATACACATGAGAAATATATAAAATCTTCAAGCTGTTTCCCATAGTTTTCTACCCACTGTCAGGTTTTGGCTTCATAAAATTACAAGGATACCGAAGAATAGTGAAATTTTAGTGTGGCTGCAGCAACTGAGAGATCAGAAACACTAGGAAGTCATTTCATGGGGTACTTACAGATTTTTAACCATGGATTTGTTTTAATCAGGTTTTAATATCATGCTAAATTACCTATCAGGTAAATTCAACAGCCAACAAAACACTTTATGGCCAAATGAGATAGATAAGGAAAACATGGATAAGAATATGCTGCATGAGGGAATGAGGAATGATTGTTAGGCAACATAGACTTAAAATTAAAAATACCACAAATAAAATTCACTCAGGGAATTCTATTATCTTTGAAAACCATCTTCAGTGGACTATAAGGAAGGAGGTAGGAAAAGAAATAGAAACAAAGAGTGTGGGACTGTTTTTTAAAAAGTGCTGGCTAGATTATAAGGAGGGAGGTATGGAAAGAAGAAAAGCTCAGTTAAAATTGGAAATAGAGGCAGAAAATTCAAAGGGGTAAAGAAGAATTGAATTGGTCACAGAAAAGGAACAAAGTAAATAAAAAGAAACCAGTTATGAGCAGAAAAATGCAGAGTGAGGACCCCCAGGCGATGAGGAAAAAATATAGATAGCAGTATTCAGCAATAAGATGGTGGAAATGTAATGCAGACTTTCATATATTTAATAAATACAGTGGTACATTGGTATTCATTGTTAATTAATTCCAGGAGGCGTGATAAGTACCAAAAATGAGCAATGTTTCCCATAAGGAATAATGTAGTTAGCAATGTTCCCTCTAAGCTGCGCAGTTGTGCGGCTGCGTAGGTCGCAACAAAACACAGTGCAGCAGTTTTCAACTGCTGCACAGTGATGTTTAGCATGATGGACTTTAGTCTGCAGGCAGCTAGGAGGCTTCTGTCAGCTGCGCCGGGATATTATAGCACCTGGACATACCCAGAGGAGGGTAGGCCTTTGGCCAACAGAAACATGGCCGTGTAGGGTTACAATTGGGCTCCATCCACCAGCATGTGACTGATTGACAGGGAGGACGTTCCCTCCTGGATCAAAGGTATTGAGGGGGACAACGGCGGCAGCAGCAGCAGTGGCAACAGCCAATGTACAGAGAATGTTTCCATCGTAGTATGTTGGCTAAGCCTCCACGACTGGGCTCCCAGCCATTGGCTTCGCTTCCAAGGTGTGGGTGTGCAGGAGGAGCTTGACAACATAAGCAAGTGGAAACCCATGCCGCATGTGCACATGTTGTCTGAATCCAGCCTCTGAGTTCGGAGCATTGGTGCTCGAGGTTTTTTTTTTTTTTGCAGGAAGGGGGAGTCAACCTGGTGCTCCACGGTTTTTATTTGATTTCATTGCTCGAAAAGAAAAAGAAAATAGAGGCTTCTTCATCCGCCTGGACTGGAAAGTCAAAATCCGGAAAATTAACCTTGTTTAGGAAAGTTTTGCGCTGATGGAAAAATAGTGTTTTCTAGTGA